ACACATGAACTGAAGTCTTATGTGCTTTGAAAAATTTCCCAGTGAATTCCTGTAAGAGAATTCTTTTACTTAATTTAGATGCTGGGGAATTCTTTTATACTTTTTTTATCACTCAAAAGTATAAAGCTAAAACAAACAGAATGCATTTTCAAGGATCTCAATTGTTCTTGTACCATTGCAAGTTTCTTCCATCAGGCAAATAATATATTTGATTAATTCCCAAGGTTTCTAAGATTTTTAACTTGTGGGCCCTATTTTTCAATGCAGAAACTAAAAATCCTTAACAAAATTCATGGAAACTAAGGGGGTGTTTGGCAACCGTGACGTTTTTTGTCGTTTCTGTTTTTAAAAAAAAAACAAGAAATATATTTGGCAACCGGGGCGTTTTGTGACTTGACCTTTTACAAAATCCAAAAATTTAGCACTTTTCTAAAACAATCACAAAACACAAATCCAAAAATTAAACAATTTTCTAAAAACACCAAAAAGGTATTTTGAAATTTCGTTTTTTCATCTAAGCCAGCGCCGCCACTTCCAGACGGCCATGCCCACCACTCCGGCAGTCGCCGCAGCCGCCCGCCCCGCTCCACCGCCATCGGCCGCTCAGCCTCCTTGCCACAGCAGCCTGTCGGCCTGCCACCACTCCCGCCGCGGCCGCCCGCGATCCGCACCACCGCCCCCACCCGCCGCTATATAATAATAACTATAAATGGTGTTTTCAAAACACTTTTTGAAAAAGAAACATCATGGCATGATGTTTTTCTACAAAAACACAACAAAAAATCACCTTAATTACCAAACACTAGGGCTGAGCATGGTTCGGTCCAAACCGAAAAAACCGACCGAACCGACCCGAACCGATCCGAAAAAATCGGTTTTATGAGTAGGACGGTTCGGGTCGGTTTGAAAACTTTTCAACCCGAACCGACCCGAACCGACCGAATATAGTGCAATACTATCCATTCTGATCTCAAACCCTACCCGACCCGTCCCCAAAAAGTCAAAGACTCAAACTCTAAACTCATTTTCTGGATCATTATGGGTTGAAAACAATATCATTATATCAGTGTTTAATGCTTCATAATCTCCTACTTTATTGATATTTTTTTCTTTAACACAGTTTATTGTTTGATAAGAAGTTTGATGAAGTTAGAACCGAACCGAACCGCACCGAACCGACTTGCAACAGTTCGGTTCGGTTTTGAATTATAGGCGGTTCGGTTCGGTTGTTCAAGAGCTCCAGATTGGTAAGTACTAAACTACCAATTGTAACTGTGACAACGCGCGGGAAAGTGATTCCTTTTACTGCAAGTATATATAAATGGCTAAAAATGAAACAAAACCTGAACACCATATACGTCCAAGTTTTCCCTTGCTTGCTGTCCCTTGGAGAAAAATCTTCAGGTTTCCTTTAAATCTTTCAAAGATTCAATTTTTTTTTTTTTGTACATTTGGCGTTTATTTAATTATTCAGTATTCAATTTGATCTCTAGAGGAGTCGTTGCTTTTCTTGTTTGATTCAATAAACTGCAGAAATCTTGAGTTTTGTCCGAGAATTCTAGAAAATTTGCATCTTGATGTCGAGCTTCTATTCTACCATAAATTGTTGTTGAAAACCTGATCACGATTTTTTCCCCCTTCAAAAATTTTTTTAGAAGGTACAGAGGCAATTACTAATTTTTCTTTTCTTATTTGGATATTTTTACTTTATTTCCTAAAGCAAGCTTTGATTTTTTATTTTTTATTTTTGAGTGTTCATAGAAAATAGGAAAACTTTAAAGCCCATGAAATAGCGTGATTGGAGCTATCTTTCCTGCATTTGGCAATATCTAGTGTTGGTTCATTGTATTGCATATTTTGATGGACAAATTTTTAAAATCAACCGTTTGTTAACTTTAATAGGCAAAATCGACCTTGTCAAAAAAATATAAGCAAAATCGACCGCACGGGACTACTAGTCCCGTGCAGTCCCTATCTCATTCCTCACCACCTGCCCATCTCTCTCTCTCCTCACTCACCTACCCCCCTCTCCTCCCACAAGCCTCCCCCTCTCCTCCCTCGTCCTCATCTACTCCCACTGCCCGTCTCTACAACTTCATCATCAAGTGCCAACTGGCGGTATCGCTGCCATCCCCAACCATGAAGGGATGTTACTTGAGATCAAGAACATCAGTAGAAGAGATGTTACTTGAGGTGTCATAGCCAACCATGAAGGGATGTTACTTGAGATCAAGAACATCAGTAGAAGAGATGTTACTTGAGGTGTCATAGTTAAAGCCGATCAACTTGGGCAAATGTTTGAGTAGTGATCGAGTACCAAGACCTGAAAGTTCTCTATCGAAGGCTACAATCACTGGATTGGCTTCGATTGTTTTCTTAGCTGCTCTTGTATGTCTAATTCATGTTTTCGTACACCAAAGTAAATGATACTCTCTCTGAATAAAACCCCTTCATGGATCAGCGACTTACTGAAGAGACGGGAGGTGGTGATGAGGTCTCTGTCGGAGAGATGTTACTTGGAAGAGGAAGACCTTGAAGAAGCGGTCTACCATGGAAGGGGAGAAGCCGGTGTACGAAGGAGAAGAGAGATGGAGGCCTCGTTGGGAGAGGTGAGGATGTCGGGGTCGTCGCGAGAGACGGCATGGAGGCGGGAGAGGATGACGAGAAGCTTGTCGGGGAGGGAGCCGATGGGGTTGGAGAGGGAGGCGAGGGCATCGAGGGGGCGGCGCCGAGGTAGAAGGGCTGGAGGGATTTTGCTTATATTTTTTTGACAAGGTCGATTTTGCCTATTAAAGTTAACAAACGGTTGATTTTAAAAATTTGTCCTATTTTGATTTAGTGCCCGTTTGTTTTGATTATTTTGAAGAGGAAAGTTGTGTGAAAGCTGCCAAAACTCTAAAGAAGATGTTTTTGTAAGAAAACCTGCCAAAACTGACAGTTTTGGCAGGCTTTCCTCTTCAAAAAAATTAAAACAAACGGACCCTTAAAGGGTTGTTTGTTTGCGATTTGGGTAGGGGGAAAGCCTTTTGACAGGCTTTCCACCAAAATCGCCTCTAAAAGAGGCGATTTTGGTGGAAAGCCTGCCAAAAGTTGCACTTTTGGCAGGGTTTTGGCAGGCTTTCCAGCCCTTCCCCCCTTAAAAAACCTCTTTCCAAACAGCATATTTTTCTTTTTTCCCCCCCTAAAGAAATCATAAATTACACTTTTATGTTGGCTGCTTTCAAATTTTGCTTAATGAAGAGAGTACCGAGCAGACTTGTATCCGTAGAACGAGTCAAGTCTTGCAATGACTCGATCAAGACTTTCTCTTTTAAAGGAGCTTCATTATTGCTCGATTTGTTATTACTTAGTAGTGCCTTGGACAAAAGAATTGACGTGGTTTTCACCGTTGTTTGAACGAAGGAGGAATTATAATTAATGACTTAGTCCAACTTCACTTGCTTATAGGGACCTCTCAACAATTTTTTTTTTAATTTTTTAAGATTACTAGAACAGAATGTTTAGAGTTGACAATATTCAAATATGTAAACGTTTAGACAATTAGTGTATAAATAAAAAAAAATTGACTTGTATACTGCTTTTTACGTAAATTTTACAGAAAACTAATTCAATTAGTTACAACTTTATTTACAAGATTCAATTTTGTTTACTGTTTAGCTTAGTGATGGATATGGGGTCCAATCTCCAAGCATCCTAATTTTAGCTTAGTAATGAATTAATCCTATGGATTTATCAAATAGCAGAAGTTCAATTTTTATATGTTTATATTCCAAATCATCAATTGGTGGAGATGGCACGTAGCCCTTGTTCTTCAATGTTTTTTATTTATTTTATTTTTTTGCATTTTTTACATTAGAATTTTCAGCAGTCTCTTCCCTTTGCAGGCTAAGAGACCCATCAAGCACTCCATTATAAATTTGTTGCCTCATACATACATTGCCAGATAGATCATTCGCCTCAATAACTACAGCTGAATGGGCTTCAATGGCTGCAATGAATCTGATCAACAGGCAAAGAGAGCTCCTCCGCCTCGAGCTCGATCAGCTGTAAAGAGCAGTAATCATGATGATTCTTCCAATCACAGAAGGAAAGGTGCTGCAGTTTTTCCAGAATCAGAAGTAGAGAAATTTGATAATACCAAGGAGCAGTCAAACTTCATTCAAAAGTTGTCAGATGGTAGTAATTTCATGTTAGCCTCCATTTGCAAGTCTCCTGATTCGCGGGATGTTTGCTGGAACCTCAATCCCCGCGAGCACTTCTCATCAATCCTATCATTATCTGGAAGTGATGTTTCTTTCGACGGGCACATAATAAGTCCTGCAGACGAAGCAAGCTTTGTTCTTGATAGACTGTTACAGGTTTCTGATGGGGGAGACTCAGAGGAGGAAGTTGCCGTATGGCTGCATAATCCACCGAGCGCTGTAGTTACAAGTTCTTCTGTATGTTCTGAGAATGGTGATTCATCCAATAATAGATCATCCTGCGACGACTCGTCTCCGTTTGAAACCTCATCTACATCTCTTAGCACTCTAGAGGAGACACCCTTGTTTGTTCGCGATTTTGATAGAATGGGAATATGGGTATCTTCACTGGATCTTGATGCTGAGGATTCCGATTTTGTACATGAAACGGGGCGAGGTTCTGATGTTTCTGACTCTGATTTCCCCAGCCCATCAATTTTCAGTGCAAGACAAAAGTATCGGTATGGATCTTCTAGCCTGATAACTTCTTTTGTGCAGACAGAGGAGATTGGGAGTTCATCAGAAATGTGCGACTCTGATGAGCCTCTCTTCTGGCCGTTCGATGAAAAATCCTATTGGCTTCCTGAATTTGAAAAGAACTTTCTGCGCACATCACCTCGCAAGGGCGTTAAAAGTTTGAAGCCAGCGAGGTTGAAGAATGATCCCCGTGATTCTGGAAAGAGTATCGATGAGAAAAAATGTAGGAGAAGGCTTGCTTTCGGTCCACGAGCAAAGGCACCTGCTGGAAAGCACAATGTTGAAACCTCAATCGACGAAAACACTCAGAACATTAGTGAATGGTCACCTTCAGGATTGAGCAAATCACATCAGACTTCTATAAATAAGTGTCCATGCAGCATCGAGATAACAGAAAGGGCTCCTCTGTCTGATGTTAAGAGCCAGATACACACATGCAATAAACAGTTGCAAGATGTTCCTTTACCGGAGCCTGACTCCACCAACCTCCATGTTTCAAAAGAAGTTTCAATTGAGAAAATGGTTGGATTGAATGAATTTGATGGCCACGAGGGGCTCAGTGTCGAGTCTGAAGAGGAGTGCACTCTAAAAGGATCACCCTTCAAGATGATGATCTCATAAAACGATGCGAATTGCACCGCAAGAAACGTCACGTTAGTTTCGGATAACCTCTGAGCGCGATCGCCACAGATGATCATGGATGTGCATCTGAGAGACTAGCCTCCAAGGAGCTTTATGATTTCATAGGAGAAAATGAGTGTTGTAACGCCCCATGTGTAGCCCCAAATTTATGAAAAAGTTGGTGTCTCAAATAGGGTAAGCCCTAGACTTAAATGTAGCATCGGTTAGTCAATTTTGACAGTGGATTGAGCCAAACGTCCCACAACTTGCACACGCCAACCGGGGCGTGACAGGTGTGATATCCTCTTCTCGTGGCAATGAAATCATATGACAACTACCAAACTTCGCCCCAGAAGATTGGGCCTTAATTAGCGATCGAAAAGAACATCACGCTAAGTCCTTCAATACACAGCGACCGAGCTACAAACGAAGTGCAGAATGCTACTACTTCCTTGATGAATAGCTGGTTGAGCTACAAATTCATGGATATTTAGCATTCAAAAATGGTCAGTAAGATGTAAAATGCTACTATGGACAACTGAATTAGCTACACGTCATAGATTTCGAGCATTCGCAAAATAGTTCTCTTTTATCAGCTTGAAGGAATGAATACACCTTCTCTGATCTTAAGAAACTGTGGAGCAATCTCAAGTGCTCTGCAATCGAACTCAGGCTAATATCTGATGATTCTATTGTCTTTGTGGCTTCTGAAGCTTTGGAGGTAAAATGTAGGCCAAATGACTAGGTGGTTGTTTGCAATTATGTGTTGGTGCAGAGATTTATCAAGCTGAAGGTGGAATGAGGCTCGTCGGTCCAGAAACACGTCATTTTGTACGACACTTTATTGCATCCCCCCCCCCCCCCCTTCTGTTTTATTTTGTCAAATATTGATGTAAAACAAAGAGTTCATTCAGTTATGTGGAATTTATCAAATAATTAAGATTATAGCATGCAGATAAATCCGAAAAAATAAACAATTAAAACTGGGCCTGACGGGAGCAGTCGTGTATTCACTGCCCTAGAAGATTGAGAACCCGCCTATCGCCCTGGCGCAGATAGTTCCCTCCCCCTAGCGGTAAAAACCCCCGGAAACGGCCGACCTCTACACTCGGGCGAGAGTGCAGAGCTTCAGCTCAGATGAAGGAAGTTGCCCATAAAATAAAACTAAGATGTAGATGAAAATAATATGTAGGGGAGAGAAGAAAAACAAGATAAACTTGTTATATATTTTTTTCTTATTATTTTGAGCTCAACATATGGATATATATATAGGGTTGGAAAAGACGTTACAAAACCCGTAATTAATTCTGTAACGTTCGTCATAAATTTTGTAACGTTCCCCATAATTATATATCCGTTACACATATTTTAATTGCATGTTTTAATTACAATATTTATTATAATTCATGAAGGCAAAATTGTCTTTTGTTAACAAAATATCTAACAGTTTAATTAATAGGCTAAATGACACTTATGGCGAAAGAGAAATCTAATTTTAACCTTGTTTGGGAGTTCCATTTCGGAGGGTAGAGGAGGGGAATGAAGGGGAAATTTGAGCCAAAATCTTACACTCCAAATTGGGGTGTAATGAAGAGGAAGGGAAGGAAGGGTAACTTTTCCCCTTCATTCCCTTCCCTAACTCATCTCTCAAACACACTGTTAAATACCATATTGTTTCACTATATTTATACTTAAATATCCTAAGTTGTGAAAGTAGCAATTTAGTACCCTAAGTCATAAAAAAATAGCGGTACTAAAATAGCACGTTAGTACCGCGTGCCATATAATTAGCATATGACATTTTTGTAAATGTGTTGACCCCATTTATTGTCATAATTATCGCTATATCTACACCCTCTTCTTTTTATTAAATTTCACATTCATTTCTATGGAAATGTACTTTTGTCATAACAAGTTTTTTTTTAATAGCATTTACAATATTCTAACCATGGACAACTTGGAGAATTAAAGTGATATAATTTATAACATAGGGTATTTAGGTGTAAAGATGGTGAAACTACAGAGTATTTAAGTGTCATTAAACCTAGTTAGTATCTCACAAGTTTGTGTCACTTGTCCCCCCATCGAATCACGAACAACTGGGCACTTCCCATTTTTCATCTGGTATCTCGAACAAGATTAATGTCCAATTGAAGCCAAGAGAAAATATCAAACAACCTCTTTTCTGACAATAAAGGATTACTACATCACATCACAATTATAGCAAGAGAAAGATGGATTATATAGCTCCCCAGTTACCTTCTACAAGTTGGCTCGTTCAGCAAAATGAATCAAATTTCCTCCAGTTATCTGTGGTTTTACAACAGCAAAAAAAAAAAACAATTAAAAAGCTGCTTCTTCGGGCAGAAATATTTTAAGCACAATCCAGCCAAAAATTAGCTAGAAAATAAGTTTATATTAGCTAACGATCTCTCTATTTCGGTTTTCTGTTAATCTTCGCCAAACTATCTTCCAGCAATATTGCAGAGTCACTGCCATTACGATGCAAAGGAGAGGAACTCCAACAACACAACCTCCAGGTGCAAGATTAATCAGTGTCTGCAATAAGAAAAAACAAGATAGCCGATAAAAAAGGAAATAGAAAATGTAAATCACGTAAGCTGGTGCTTTATTTTTTTTCCAAAAGAAAGACTCAAGGATATATATAATATATTTCGATAAACAAAGGCAAAACTGTAAGCATGAACATGGTCATGATACCTTCCTTCAGAACTTTTTAAAATTCTCTTTTTTATATATGCTCTACAACAACCAAAAAGCCTTGATCCAAATTTTGGGATCAGCTACAAGAACCTTAGTCTTATGTTCAGTTCTTTTAAGGGCTAACACTAACATGTTGTTTTTAATTGCTTGCAACCAATTTGTCTCGGGCATACTTCTAGCTCTCCTCCTGCCATTAATTAAAATCTATGTTACACGAGTGGGGGTGCAGATGCGGATACAAGACATGACAAATTTGTAAAAGTTAGGATACGGGGAGACGGCTATACATGTTATTGAAATTACAAGAGATCAATATTGTTTTTTTTAATTTGCATGTTATGAAAACTAAAAGTTCTATAACATTTTTATGTTACCATTTAGTAAATAAATTACATTGGGAAGACACTGGTTGTTTAACTAGATGTACCTGCCATCTTTTTAAGATCATACTTCTGACCTAGGTAAGGCTTGAAATGACTTGAAACATGTCGTTGCCGGAAGTGGATCTGAAAGTGTAAGATATACGTCGAAGAAGTCGAAGAAGCGTATGACGAGTGTTTTAGAACAAAACATCTATTATATATCGAGCACAATCTGAATAAATGTATGCATATTCAAGGGGTGTCCAAAGAATGTCCAAGGAGTGTTGGAGTCTGACACATGTCAGACATGAATATAGGAGTCTAGAGGAGGTGTCAAGGTAACCTAGATTATAATCTTCTATTAACATAAAAAAAGATAGCTATTTGGATACAGGCACATAATAAATTAAAGAGCTCAATAGTGTGAATATTATTGGCAAACTCTAATTTTAACCATACAACCAAAACATGGTTATTCAGAATATGTTACTTGAAAAGGTCAGCAACTCACTGTTATAGCAGATATCGTGTGAATGACAGGAATAATAAATTGGTCAGCTTTTCTCCCTTCAGCATATCCATTAAATGCGATGACCATGGAGAAAGTATGAATCATCACAAATCCCAGAGAAATAATAGCTGCAGCATAAAAGAAAACTAGTCAGGCCAAAAAAGAACTCATAACAAACATGTTACAGACGTCATAATTACACAAGTACCAGCATAGATTGAAAATAGTCCATTAATCAATTTTTAACCACCATCAAGATATACAAATGTCAATTATATATACTCTCCAATTTTGGTATTTAACAAAAATCTTGCAAGAAATGGCAATTAGTCTTTTCCTCCTTCAGAAAAGGCCAACAACCTTCCTCCCTCACCCAGTTATCCTTCCGGCTAGTTGACAATTAGTCTATCGTTCCTCCCTCATCAGTTATCCCTCCAAAATTTTGACAATAAGTCTTATCACTTCATGTGTAGTATTCTCAATTTTACTGCATTGGTATGATGTGTCCATGTTGGCATGCCTTATTCGCGCTTCTTAGCTGACAACATATGGTGAAGATATTCATAGCGATCAATGTGAAATTTAGTTTCCTCGTCATTCTACAAACATCAAAACATATACATTGCAAACTTTATATACTTCCACTTACATTGTGTTTAAGATTTGGTATAAACCTATAAATGGTGCCAGTATGACTTAATTCAATAAGAATCTATAAATTATCCTAACTAATCATTTTTCACCTTGGTGAAAATGATATCAGTGCAGTTTGAAGTGAGAATGACGATTAATGTGGAAAAGAATAGATCTCGTGCATATTATAATTAGTAGTCAAGTTATGCAGGTGAAGGCATGCTGAAATCCAGATTTATGATTGATATCCAAAAAGAGCAATTTTCAAATAAAATATATCTTGCTTCAAGACTAAGAAAAATGGCTTATTACGCACCAAAAAGACTCAAAATGAAAAGTAATGAAAAACTTAACACGGCATATGAAGAGCAATGCCTCACCAGAAACAAGAAATAATGGTATGTGTGAACACCTATTAACATAATATGTTGCTGGACCAAATGCAGGAGTAAGAAGGCTCAGACAGAAAAAGACAGCATGAGCCACGCCATGACCTAAACCACCAGCTGCATATCATTCAAAGTGGCCTTAGTAAAGAGACAAGTTCAACTTCTGCAATATTCAGATGAAAAAGTCATAAAAATACCAAAGACAAGAACAGAACATTCAGATTGCAAGACTATTCTTTGCCTTAAGATCTTTCAAGTCAGAAGAAAAAAAGAATATACGGGAAAACATAAATGTTGTCTCCGATTATCCAGTTGGAGATAATGAGATTCTTAGTGGTGGGGTACACATACTTCCTAATGTTTCTTTCTAGTGCTATTGAAATGTGACCATTCAATATGGCAATAAAATATAAACACCATCTACTTCAAAGTTTAGAGAATAAATACAAACATATAGCATAGACTGCATAGTGCTATACTATTAACTAGGAAAACTGTCTATGATTCCTGCAAACCAAACCACATGATGGGCTATTCAAATTGGTCATCCACCCTGCTCAATTTAATCCACATGCAATTAAACATATAGAGAGAGAGTTCAACACTCCCAACCCATTCACCCAACAGTTGAAAAATGAAAGGACGGTTGACATAAGAGGATCACATGATGGATGCCATATAAATAATTAAAACACATGTATTTTGATTTCTATGCATTATGTGAAATAAAGATAAAGATGAAAATTGCAGCTCACTAGTTTCCTTGAAGTTTGTTCTTATCAAATAGTAAAACACCACATAGTGCTACATTATGCTTTACTATCTTACACATATGAGAACACAACACATACTTATAGAACAATAATAAAGCGTTATCCAAGCTTTTCAGTCAATATGTGAATCCTCTTCTTCCAATCAACTACATTAAGTGCCACTTACTTAAGTTTATCATGTATTTTTGGTAATCACATACATCCCTGTTCATGTAACCGTCCCTTTAATCCCTGTGGGTTCAATCATTTGCGATCATATTGCTTCTCCTAACTGGCACACTCATTAGCCTCCATAGCACATACACAAACCATCTTGAATAATCACTCCGGTTTTGGAATATAAACTGGTCATGACCTTCATGAAGCTCACTGTTGTTGACTTGAGATTCAAAATTATAAACTACGTCCAGCTGTGAGCGCACTCTCCTAGAACATTCGCTTAGCTTAAGGATATAGTCTACCATCATAAATATGCATCATGCATGGGGAAATTATTTATAAAGTTCTACTATCAAAATGCGGCTGACTAGAACTATTCTACGTAAATGAATCTCTTACATATGGCATTTTCAAGAATACAGACTGGTAGTATGAGGAGGGTTTAGCCTACTAAATTATGTTACATCAGGACAGATGTAGGTTCGATAAACTTTATTGAGATGTAAAAGTTAATAAGCAGACGTGAGACATATTAGATACTTACCAAGAGCAATTTGCATTTTATCCGTCCAATAAAGGCGAGGTTTAGACACTCTGTCGGCAAAAGCATCCAACATATCTTCCAACCTCCTAGAAAAATTCATTGGGGGCAAATATTAAGGCATGCTGAGATAAAACATAATCCCAACTCCTTAGCCAACCTCATGCTGAAGAAAGAAAGGGAAGTATACACTTGCTGGATAAATATGCATCAAAATTTTAACATCTCAACCTACTTGTATAGCTTCCAGAATACAAGTCGGATGCCTTCTTGGAAAGCAACAGATGTGAGTATAAGAATCACATATTGCCACCATGCTGAAGATGGAAAAGGAAGAAAAGCTCTCCATGCCGCCGAAAGAACGATAAGGCTAATGAGCCAAAACAGTGTGCTGCATCCAACAATTAACCGAAAGTATTAGGCACAAGGATTCCCATTTCTCAAAACTGATAAACCCAAAGTTTGGAAGTTGCCTATATTGTTTGGTTTCTGTATTTTCTTAATTATCAATATTACATCCAAGAAGATTACAAGTACACCCACAAACTGCTATCTCTGGCTTCATATAAATTTATACCGTTGTACAGAACTATGACAAGCAGCAGATAAATAAATAGTCAAAGAAACATAAATATGCAGCATTTCCAAAAATAAAAGCATATTTACCCTATAATCTAACAAAGACAGTCAGTTGCTCCAGATAAAACATGTTGCGAGCACATGTACAATATTACAAACGGATAAATATAAATTGCATATCAAAATTTCGGGGAAAGTAAACCTTATGTATATGAACCAAAATCAGCACTCGCACAATATTCTTATTAAAAATAATCTTATAAATGATGCATTGACATCTGCACTTGTGAGGATGTCGAGCAGTGATGTTAACATGTATATAAATCACACCCGCACACAGTAACATAAAAGATCCAACCTCTAGTCTAACAGCTAACACAGAAAAAAAATTGTCCTAAGTCCTACTAGACTATTACTCAGTAAAAGATAAAAGGGTAAGCTCGTGACCATCAAGAGCTCCCTTACTCAGCTTTGTTTTACGATTTTCTGAGGTATTAACCATCATCATGCTATGAGAGCACGAGGCATTACCATCCATTGCGCGTGCATCTAGAGTCTTGACCACCAAATCCTCGTGCTCCAAAGTGCTAAGTTGTTTTCCTACATATCCTATTACTTCCCTAACAATGGATTGCCGGTTGCCTATGGATGAGCTTCGACTCAGACCCGTATCAAGCATTTCCTTAGATGCATCATGCTAAGTCGCTTGCATGATTCATTTCGCTTATTCAAGCTCAAAACGGCAACATAGAATGCACCATTCCAAGAACCATCATAACCATCTCGATCCAAGAAAAAAAATATGCATCCCATTCCTAATTTTAGGCATAAACCCTAAATAATCCACCAAAAAGCTGAGGCTTTCACTCGATGCGAACCGATCCAAACCCTGAAGTGGATTCACGCATCAACACTCTCATCTCAGGGTGTAAGATTCAGGCATAATCAACCTTCTCAAATGGCAAACTGCACAAAAAACCCTAATGAATCGATCGAATTACTTCAAGTTTTAGGAACATCACAAGATCTTAAATTTCCTATACGTAACAAAGATAATTCAGTAATTTTACGGGGGGACAATTACAAAAAACAGTAAAAGGAAAAGAAATTGAAGGAGAGAGAACCAACCCAGAGAGAAGAGTGAGAACAAGGAAGGGTTTAGTGGAGACGACGGAGACGAAGATGGAGAGTGCGGGCCCCAGCGATATCAGCGCGTACCCTACGCCCGCTGCCACCGTCATCTCTCTAGCCCTAGCTCGAACGGAGGAGGAGCAACAGCAGAGGGGGAGAGAGGAAAAAATGCAGACTTCCCTCGATTTTGCCAAGGGTAAATTACAGTAAACCCCCGAGAAATTCCAGCAGTTTGAAGTAAAAAAAAACGCCTGATAATACTGTCAATATCACAATAAACACCCGCAAATAAACTTTTTGAATTGCAGAAAGTTTCCAATTGGTTTAGCATTTTTGCAGATAATTCCCATAAATACGAATAAAAAAAATAATATGTAAAGTAGTTGGCTATAAATGACACTTAAATACCCTATTGTTCCATCACATTTATACTTAAATACATATCCTAATCCTAAATCCTAAATCTTAAAAAGCAACACTTTAAAACCCCATGTTGTTAAAAAACTTAGCACTTTGTATCCTAGGTTGTAAAAAAATAGCGCATTAATATATTCTCTAGTTGTACATTTGAAATATTTTCATGATGATTAGCACATGATTTTTTGTAATTGTATTGATTTCGTTTATTCTCGTACTTACTACTATACCTACCCTACATTTTTTTATTAATTACTCTGAAGGATTTTTTTTTTTGTTATAACGGGTTTTTGAACGGTGTTTACCATATTTTAGCGATTTGACAACTTAAAATATTTATATACTATTTTTTACAATTTAGAATATTAAAATATAAATTTGGTGAAACAACGTAATATTAAAGTGCCATTTAGCCAAATAAAATTTGAAAGTTGTCAGGGGTTTAATATAATTTACCTAAGGGGTTGTTTGGTTCAACAAAATTTTTAGCATTTGAGGTGAATTTGAAATTCGTCGAGCAAAAATGACTCACTTTCTAAGGGGTTGTTTGGTTCAACAAAATTTTTAGCATTTGAGGTGGATTTGAAATTCGTCGAGCAAAAATGACTCACTTTCATTTATAGGATTTCATATAGAGTGATTATTTCAAGATTTTTTTTGGCATTAGGTATTCATAAAATATAAAAAAATAGAAACTTTTGGGATTTACCAACTCCTACATGGAGAGGATTTAACAAGTTTTCGCATTAGATATCAATACATTTTGTATTTTCTTATATTTTAGAGTTTGAATCAAATAATAATTTATAATTTCTAAAATTTGCTTTCCTATAATCTAGTTGAACCAAACATGAGATTAGGTATTCCAAAGTATCTTAAAAACAAGTGGATTTAGAATTCTTGATGAGATTATGTTGATGTTACACAATCACACAGATAAACTTTTAAGAACTGGGTTGATTAGAGCCCGCTAACTTCTTCGAATATCTGTTTTGAAGTTTAGTTGTTCTTCTTTGTACGTGTAGCAACTCGTAAGAGGGCAGGGCTGATTCCCCTGTTGTTCCTCCGACGATCAAGTTAGCAAGGTCGCAGTCGTCTTTTGGCTTGTATCGAGGGGTGTCGAGAGGTACCGTCTTTCGAGTTTGCTCTTGTGAGATGCCGGCGCAATAACTAGTCGAGTACGCTTGTGGTGAGTCGTCCTAGATTAGAGAACCGACAAATACTGCATTTCGAGTCAACCCAGCGAGATGTTTACTAGGCGAGTCGGCTAGATCGGGACCCTGATTGTTGCAAGTGTCGAGGCAATTGAATTAGACGTAATAGTAGATTTTTGTCGGTTGTTGACAAGAGATCATAATTTGATGACTGGAAGTACCACAACAGATTCCGATCCTATAATTTTAGAATTTGAACTACACAGCCCCTAAAGATATGGATGATTTGCAAAAACATGTTTGACTACATAAGAGCAGCTCCAATCGGGCTGCATTTCTCCAAAATGCAGCCCGGTTGGCATCCAACCGAGCTCCAAAATGAGCAGCTCCAATCGGGCTGCATTTCTCCAAAATGCAGCCAGGTTGGCATCCAACCGAGCTCCAAAATTTGGAGCTCGGCTGCAAAAAGTCCCATCCGGCTGCATATTTGGAGTTTTTGCTCCAAATATGCAGCCCCCTCCATTTCACTATTCCCCTAAAAATGACAATATTAACCCTCAATCTCCTTAACAACATTTCATTATTTCAATTGTGTTCTATTATTCTTTTTTACTTACTTAAAATCTGTATATATATATATATATATATAAATACTTATATATTTATATATAATATAGATATATAATTATATATATATATTATATATATATATTATATATATATATATATATATATATATATAAATATATATATATATAATATAATTATAGTAGTAATATTAAATATTTTTAATTGAAATAGATTCATTAGAATGTCTCGTGCGATACCTTCAAATGAGACTAACATCGAAATATCAAATATTGCAAAATAAGTAATTAGAAAATGATAATAACCAATTAAAAATTAAACAGAAATAGTAACATTTGATAATTATTATTAATAATATTATTTATATTATATAACTTTTATTTTTTATTATTTTTATATATTCAAAATGAGACTAATATTAAATAATATTAATTGAAATATAAAATTCCAAGAACCAAGTAATTAAAAATGAAAATGTATTATAATTTAAAGACAATTATCTATTTCTTTTTATCAATTCATTAAATATAATTAGTTTTATTTAAATATATGATTACCTTATATATTATTATTTTTATATATTTTTAAAATAAGTAAAAGAATTGTTAAATTGAGAGAAATTAAAATAAAGTTGGAAATAGATGAGTGTGGTTGGAGTTACATAACTCTATTTTGACATATTCTAAGGAATATGCTAAAGTGAGGACTACAAAATGCAGTCTGGGTTGGAGAAGCTCTAAAAAGGCTTTTTTGTTGAAATTAGGACTTCAGTGCCACATCCAGCCCAATAGTACCTTATTGGGCCAGGTTGATTTTGTAATTTCAGCAAAAACAGGCTTCAACCCTAATTCTTACACCTATAAATACCATGCTTAGCTCTTCCTCTCTCCCACTCTCATCTCTGCCTGCCGAAGTCGTAAATTTTTATCTTCAGCCTTTGTTTTATATTTTTGTCAATTCGAAATTCTAATAATCAATTATTGTCTTATTTTCTCCCTTTTTTTCTTCACTCAATACTAAGCAAGTTCAGCTTCTTGTTTGGATCTCGAATTCAATCCGATCCAGTCAAATTCATTCAAAAACTTGCGATAACAAAAACCGGAACCAGTTTCACTCGCCTGGATCTGATCGGATCTCCGTAATGATTTTCCAGGCCCTTTATAATTGGTACAGTTTTTTATTTTTTATTTTCTAAAATTTGTATTTTGATCTGAAATTTTTTAAATAAAGAAATTCGAAGCAAACGCACTCTGTCCCAAATCAAAGCTTGATGTTTTGAGGCAATTTCTTCGTTTGCGAGATCATGGTTTCCAACTTTACTCGGCCGAGGGTGAGGACGCTTTGATCCTTCGGAGGGAACTATTGGATTACATCTTACATTGGATAAAAATATAAGGATCAGTACTTTTTGTTGTGAACTTAATCTAAAATTTATGATGAACGAATTCTAATTTCCTAGATTATGTTCTCAAAAAGAAAAATACTTCTTAACAATCAAAGTAGATTTTTTTCAAGCCTGTTCATGATTTATTGTTAATTTATATGTTGACGGCATTGTGATTGATTCTCATCATTTGCAATACGAAATGTAGTTGGGGGTTTTGTTGATAATTGAACATCTTGATGTATTAAGAAAAACATATGAACATGTAGAAAATGTTTATCACTTTGGGACACCGTATCAAATTATTCAAACGAAGATAACTGAAGGTAATAGTTAAGTCTTTCTCAATTTACAATGCAATTGAAAAAAAATACATGTTTGGTTATTGCACTTGCAACATTTTATTTCATCGACATTTAACTATAGGCATGCTACAGTTCCGCTCAAAGTATGTGTCGGTTGGAGTATTTGTGAAAACAAATTAAATAAACAATACTTTAAATATCTTTTATACTACCGACTCCTGTAATTTAATATTCTATGGGGGGATGCCTTGTTTCTCAAACTGCAAACAAGCACACAATATAATTTGATAAAATTATTAGAGTGGTGTATTTTATTGACCATACATGAAAGATTTGTATATTTTATTATATCAGTGATAATTTATTATATTACGTGAATTACAGTGATAAATGTGCTTATTTTGTTGTTTAAAGTTCACATATTGAGTCCCGTGATTCTTCACGTACAAACCGTGATTCTTCACATACAACCGAGGTGGTAATAGTTATGTGATGGAGAGGACGAATCTTGTGAAAGGTGATTTCAAGATTCAAATATTTAAAAATAATTTGAGGAATTGGGTGGTTAATATGACTGATTGGTATTATTTATTAAGCTCAAAACCTTGATTTTGCTACCATGTGGTCAATTGGTATTATTTATTAAGCTCAAAACCTTGATTTTGCTACCAAAGTTTTTAACCTCTCATATTGCTTAGGCATCATTGTATTTTATAAAAAAAGTGTTTTATATTAATAAATGTGTGGCTACAAACTTTGGTGGATATCAACTTAAGTTGATAGGAGTATGCTTGGAGCAAACACAAATTTTGTGTTTGGTTTGAGGTGTCCTATTCCTATCCACTCATTCTAATTTTCAGCCATTCCCCAACTAATGTGAATGTGAGCCCCGATTTTAATGAGTGAAGGAGAATATGTCACCTCACTATCAAGCACAAAAACTTATGTTTGGTACCAAGCATATCCATTTTTCTTATATTTATATATGAGTAGAGTTTTAATACACCTACAGTGTAACTAACTTAGTTATACCCACTTGTAAAAATACATATTTGAGTGTAAATATTAACGATCAACATCTTTTATTGTGATCTATTTGTTCAAAACTTTACGAAGACCAAAAATCACATAGGTAAGATTTTCTAGTTTGTACATCTAATGACATTGAAATGAATGGTTTGTAACAATCTAAAATGCCCATTATTTTGAGTAGGGCTGTTAATCGGTTTGAATGGTGCGGTTAATAGGTGACACCGAACACCAAACCGATCTATTTTTTCGGTTTGGTTCGGTTTGGTTTTTCACTATTTTTTTTAAAAAACCAATTGTGTTCGGTTTAGTTCGGTTCGGTTTTTCTCTGGTTTATATCGGGTTTTTTTCCGGTTATTCTATAAAGAAAACAAGTCTAGAAAAGTAGAAAGTAAAAATGTCTCATATTACATAACCGTTTCCGAAAAAAGTGATGAAAAACTAGAATAGCAGAAAGATAATAGATCAGAAGAACAAGATCAATTACCCGACCACTTGTTTGTAGTTGTAAAATTATGAATCCAGGTTTTTTCCCCATAGAATTAGAAGAACAAGATTTTCAGAAGACATTGGAGTGTACATGCGTCTTGCTAAAGAATCATAACACTTTTTTCCATACAGCAGAGGGTAGTTCTCTTCATACGTGAGGTTCTTTGGTAGAATGCTATTGTTTCCAACAACTTGCACATGTACCAATGACATCTCTATTTTCCATTGTTCTAAGGGTGTGTTTGGTTAGTATTTAGCAAGCAAAAAAAAAAAGAAAAAGAAAAAAAACATGAGAAATGTGGTTTCTGAGACCTGACTATCTTGCCACATAAGATTTTAGTTTCCAATTGATCCATTTCCCTTGTTTGCTTCGGTTTTGGTTTCCCGTAAGCTGAGCCGGGTCAGTAAAATGTAAATCCCATTCAGACCAAAATGGGAATAAAATAACTCTTTGGTTTTTCGGTTCGGTTTCGGTTTTCAGACATTCGAAACCAAAACCATACCAAACCTTTCGGTTTTCGGTTATTTTTTTTCGGTTTGGTGCCGTTTTTTTCTTTCCTCGGTTTTTTCGGTTATGGTTCGGCTTTGGTGTGGTTATTTTTTCGGTTATCGGTTTTCTAGTTACAACCCTAATTTTGAGTTGCTTAAATTATGGATAGAACTTTCCAACCACATGATTTTTTATCCATACTCGTTTGGTGACATGTAGATTACAATGAATGATATTTATCTATAATATCGATGGTCAAACATGTATTTTTAAAGATATGTGCAACTAACCTAGTTACACTATATATATCTTTGAAGTCTGAACCATGTATATCTTTTTATTTGTGATGTTTTTCTGTGTAATGTTTATCTTTGGACAATGTGTGTATATATATCATTTTAAATAAAGAGTAAACTAGAAAATTTAATTTAAATATAATCTAATGGATACTAATACAAAGTTAATATAATTTAAAAACTAAAAATAAAAAAAAAATTAAAAAACCCGTGAGCCGGGCCCGACCCAGCCCGCCCGTAAGCAGCTAGTGAGTCGGGCATTGTCTAATTCCAAACTCAAGATCAGAAAAATAGATCCAATCCACTCTGATTCTAACATGCCTGAGACAGACGCGGCCGCCTTGAACCCGACGGACCGGATGATGGGCCTGAACCAGGTGGGCCCACGCCCACCCCCGCAGCAAAGTCGGGGCATCTCTTCGTGAGTGAGCTTACTTGATTATGTCTTGTCCTCCGTGTCTCCGCGCCGAACGGCAAATCTTGAAACCAAAAGTTTGAACCCGACGGGACCCACAGGATACCCCACACTCCTGGCTCAATGTCATTGGTCGGGTGCAGCCACCGGTCGTACTCTGCCGTATCTTTATTTCCAGCTGTGTTGCCGCTCCTCGACGTCACCCCCCAGATCCGCGTCTTCAGCCATAAAAAAAAGTGAAAGTACATAAAAGGGGAAAGAAAAAACAAAGTCTATATACTCCATAGTGATAATTTAGGCAGTGCATTTTCCCACCACAATATTTGTATTTTCGTTAGTTCAAAATTTTCATATGTTAATCTCAAAAAATACAAATTAGTTCCGAAAAAAAACCAGAGAAGAATTTTCCTTAGTCACCTTCTAAACTAATTTGTACGTCAATCTTACATTTCTTTTAGAATTCCCTTAATTTTTCTTAGCCATCTTTTTCAGCCAAAAACTTTAAGAGTAAGCATGGGTCAGCGCGTCGCCCCACAATGTTGGCTAGCATGTTTGTGAAATAGTTGTCCGGAATGTTGACTGGTACGTTGCTAACATGCCACACTTATAAATCATTCGTTATGATCTGAATTTTATGTCAAAAAGGCTAAACTAGAGCCATAGTAATATAAATGTGCGTCGCATTGACACAATTCAGTTCTCTTATAATTTTTCTACGGGATTCAATGACATCACGGTTGTTACAGCGTCTCGAAACGACAACTAATTAATACAAACCAACACAAAGACATCTTTTAAATAAAAAAAAAATAATAATAATAAAATAAAAGGGACCATGGTGCGTGAGTTGCGAACGCGCTTTATTAACAACCTTTAGCCCCTCCTCATCATCAAAAAACGCGTACCCTTCACCTCTTTAAATCCCCCCAACTCCCCGTCCTCAGCCAAAAATCAACCCTAAAATAACCCAAAAAAAGAAAAAAAAACCCACCGTTAAAACCGCCACAAATCTCTCCCAACCTCAACTCCCCAAATTAGAAAAAAGAAAAAAAGAAAAAGAAAAAAAGAGCAAAAGAGAGAGAGAGATCGAGAAAAAACAAGGGGAAAAAAAATGGACCCGGCGGAGCTGAAGAGGGTCTTCCAGATGTTCGACCGCAACGGCGACGGGCGCATAACGAAGCAGGAGCTGTCCTCCTCCCTCGACAACCTCGGCATCTACATCCCCGACGAGGACCTGGAGGCGATGGTCGCCAAGATCGACGTCAACCGCGACGGGTGCGTCGACATGGAGGAGTTCGGGGCGCTGTACCAGACGATAATGGACGAGAGGGACGAGGAGGAGGACATGAGGGAGGCCTTCAACGTCTTCGACCAGAACGGGGACGGGTTCATCACGGTGGAGGAGCTCCGGTCGGTGCTCGGGTCGCTGGGGCTGAAGCAGGGAAGGACGGTGGAGGACTGCCGGAGGATGATCAAGAGGGTGGACGCCGACGGGGACGGGAGGGTCAATTTCAAGGAGTTCAAGCAGATGATGAGAGGGGGAGGCTTTGCCGCGCTTTCTTGAAAATATTAAGTATAGTTCAGACCCGAAAAGGATAAATTTAAGTTTATATAATTAATATATATATATATATATATATTCGGTTGTACAAACTCAATTTCCTTTTTTTTTCTTTTTTTTTTGTGTGCAAGGGATCGTCTTGTTTCGGATCGGATAACTAATGATGTAAGTGATTGGTAAATGATACCGTGTATTAGTTAGTTACCTTTATTCTCATCCTATGCCTTTAGTTTTAGAATTTGGGTCCTTTGTTTTGTTGTTGAAGGATTTGATGTAGTCTCCCAACTCATGTCATGGCTAAATTATACGGTATTTTCTACTTCCCTTTTCCTCATAGTGAAGAAATTTTCGGTGATCTGGTATTTATAGAAGAACGACGAAATTCCTCGCGATCTCGTACGTGAAGAATGAAAACTAAATTCTTTCTTGAGAGGCTTGATTTTGTTGCGGTCATTTGAACTCGGTTAATGTTGGGGTTGGAAGTTGGAACACACAAACGATAACCCGTGTCTTTTTTGATCTTGTGTTAAAAGTAGGCAAATAAGAAATCACAGCAAATAAAAGAAAACTTGTAGGGAATAAAGAACAAAAGAAGAAAACATCAGATTTAACGAGGTTTGGCAAACGTGCCTACGTCATCGGGAGCCACACAAGAAATTCTTTGATTAATTAAAGAAGATTACAATGCTCGCAATAGGCCACACACTCTCTAAGATCTCTGATCTCAAAGTGTCGTTAAAACCATCTCAAAGACGTCCTCACATAACCCTAAAAAACGTTTTAGGAAACATATATATACTCAGCCCAAAAACAGAATCCAACCCGAACCAAGAAACCATCAGACCCGATATCGATCGACCGATAGTATTGCATCGGTCGACCGGTTGATCGCCATCGGTCGACTGATAGTATTGCTTTGGTCGACCGTCCAAAACTTTGTTTTCTACAGGGTTCTCGTGCACGTTTTCGGTCGACCGGGGCAAAGTCCATCGGTCGACCGTCCTGAAACTCCTATAATGTTTTTGACTTCACATCGGTCGACCGGTGTCACTGCTTCGGTCGATTGATCGGAGCGGATTTTCCTGCTCAGTTTCCTGCAATCGATTCGGTCGACCGATCCATGCATGTTGGTCGACCGAGGTTGAGTTTTCCAGTTTTGTCGATTTTGATCTAGGTTTGGGTCTACACTTCTCGAAACTAACAGTTAATTCCTCTGTTTTTTTTATCATGTAGAATTAATTTTGATTTTAGAGAAATATCTCATGTTTGTTCCCTTCTCAATTTTTTTGTGCATTGGCGTCTGAAACTTTGATCATGGTATCTCATTCGCAAGTCATTGTCATTTTCCCCTCAGCATAATTTAGATCTACCAAATGTCAGCAGCAGGAGTTTCCTGCAACAGTTTTTTTTTTAATTATAAAATTTGATAATGACAGGCCTAACGCGGTTTTAGTTGTAAATTAGGAGGCATATCAATGCCTTAGAAATTGGACAAGTGTTGCAATTTTAATTAAGGAAGTAAACTCTAATGTGTACCAACCAAATGTAACATTTAAGATCAGTCTGTGGTCTTTATTTAAATAAACTTTTCTATTATGAGATGAGGGAGGCCTTTGGCCTCCCCCTCATTATCCCTCCATTCACACCCCATTATGATGGTGTAACACCCCATTAAGTGGGGGTGACTCTTGGGTACTCAACCTATTCACATTGACTATCTATAAATATACATCATAGGCCTTTGGCCTAGGTAATGGTTTCAAACATGTTATCAGCACGAAGTGTTCTTGAATCCCTGAGCCATAAAAAAATATATATTTCCTTCCTCTTTTGCGCATTGAGATCTGGTTCGTTGCAGCGGGAGCGTTCGACGGATCATCGCAAGGAGGCAGCGTTCTACGGATCTTTAGTATCGATCGTTCTAGATCTTTGATCTAGAGGTAATTACTATAATCCGTAGAATAATATATGACAACTGGAAAATTTAAAAAAAAATTTGTTACTGTTCACCGAGGGTTACTGTTCACTCGGGAATTTTTCAGTTTATTAAGCAATTTTATTGTTGTTCATCTAATCTAAGTGCTTTCATTATTTATTGGCATAACTAGTAATTAATACTATTAGTTAATTGCTATTCAAAAAAAAATAAAAAATAAAAAAATAAAATAAAAAACAGAAATGTTTATGTGCTCATGTTGACATGATATTAAAAGTATTAAGTAGGCAGTATCGCATAGAAACAACAAGAAGTCTAAAAAAAAAAAAATTCAAAGAAAGCAAGGGTTTACTGTCCAAATTTGTTATGCCTGTTGCATATATTATTATTAAATTGCGTGGATGTTTAAATAAATAATGTTGTGGTTTTTGGATCAGCCTGTTTGTCACCAAATTTAAATTCCTTGCATTTTCTTTTACTTCTGAGAGAGAAATTGTAGTGAGGATATAATTGTAAAAAGTCAAAGACCGGTGTATTCCATTGAAGACGAAGGCATTTTTGCAAAATACAGGGACCCCCAAGGGTTTTCCAAATTGTATTTTAATTTTATGATTTTTGTTATCTTTGGACTGTATAATCGGACTTTGGACACTTTTTATTTTTTTGGTGACGGGCTGATCCATGCAACATGTTTATTGCATGAATTTTTAATTCCTTATTATTAATTCATGTTTTTTCACATGCATAGATAAAATGGCTAAAATAGCGAGCGTTGATTTCGAAGTCCTAGACGCTGCTAGCAAGAATTATTTGAGTTGGCATGTGGACCTGAAGTTCCACTTACGTGCCCAGGGCTTATTAGCCACAATTTCAACTCCTGCTCCACCGGCTCCGGCCACTGGTACGGGTAATGCTGTAAATAATGCTGAGGTTGCTACTACAGTGATCGTCTCTGATATAGATAAGGCGAAAGCCATTATCTACATCAGGAGACATATTGATCGGACCCTGAAGGCCGAATACCTGACTGTAGAGGACCCAAAGGAATTGTGGACTGCACTTGAGGACCGATACAAACATCAGAAAGATGTAATCCTCCCACGTGCACGTTATGAGTGGGAAAACCTCCGACTTCAGGACTTTAAGTCCGTAGCTGAGTATAACTCAGCACTTCATAATATCACCTCACGCCTGAAGTTGTGTGGTGAAGAAGTTTCGGAGGAACGCATGTTGGAGAAGACTTACACATCCATCCACGAGAAGGATGCAATCCTCATGCAACAGTACCGCGAACGAAAGTTCAAAAAATATTCTGAATTGCACTCCACCCTTCTGATGGCGGAGCAAAACAGAGAATTGCTTTTGGCCACTCATAACCTACGCCCTGCAGGCTCAGCTCCTCTACCCGAAGCTCACATGTTTTCTTCCCAGAAGCAGAAGAAAAAGCATAAGGGTAAATTCAACAAGGGGAAAGCCCCTAAGTGGCAGGCCAGATGTCCACCCCAGAAAAACAACCCGCCCCAGAGCAGCAATAGTGAGGGAAAGAAGAAGTGGAAGAAGAAGACCACTGAGCTGTCGTCCATTCCCAAGAACACTTGGGAGGACAAATGCCACAGATGTGGCATGACTGGACATTGGTCCAGAAACTGTCGCACTCCGCGACACCTCCAAGATCTGTATCTAGCGAGCCAGAAGTCTCCTGTTGAAACAAATCTGGTGGAAAAGCAGCCGTCTACTCAGTTCACTGCTGATGACTTCGAAATGGATGATCTTCTCGACTAGATCCATGTTATCTTTATATGCATTTAAATTCTCATAGTACTTTCATCTTTAGTTCTTTACTTTCCATGTAATGCAATTTACTTTTCAATAAAGATAGTTATTTTCTTTAGATTAAAATATTGCATTCATGTTATAGATGAAGTGTGAGTGCCTTGTGGACAGTGCCTCGACGCACACAATCCTTCGCGAAAGAAGCTATTTCAATAGCTTATATGATTATGACGATCCTGTAATTACGATTTCAGGACTATCTAATATAATAGAAGGATTTGGTGAAGCAATGATATTGCTCCCAAATAAAACGAGACTAATAATAAAAGATGCATTATTCTCTCCGAAATCTAATAGAAACCTCATAAGTTTCAAGGATATTCGTTTAAACGGATATCACTTAGAAACCAATGAAATAAATGAGGATGAGTATTTGTATGTAACTCGTCAAAAAGATGGTTCAAAAACTATCTTAGAACGATTCAAGGGACTCCCGTCGGGTCTCTATCATACATATATTCAACCAGTAGAAGCTAACATGATTGTGCACCAGAAGTGCCATTCTTCGACGAAATTTAAACTTTGGCATAACAGACTGGGTCACCCAGGATCAGCAATGATGCACCGCATCATGAGCCAATCAAGTGGACACAACCTGAAGAACCTGAAGATTCTTCAGAAGAGTGATTACTCATGTCTATCTTGTTTTCAAGGTAAACTGATCACGAGACCTTCCCTTCTGAAAGTGGGATTAGAGTCTCCTAGCTTCTTGGAGAGAATACATGGCGATATTTGTGGGCCTATTCACCCCGCAAGTGGACCATTTAGGTACTTTATGGTACTTATAGATGCATCAACCAAGTGGTCTTACGTGTGCCTTTTGTCCACCCGCAACTTAGCTTTTTCAAAGCTATTGGCACAAATTATTAAGTTGCGGGCTCATTTCCCCGATAATCAAATCAAGAAATTACGTCTTGATAATGCGGGAGAATTCACTTCACAAGTCTTTCAAGACTATTGCCTAGCCTTTGCCGAAATTTAAACTTTGGCATAACAGACTGGGTCACCCAGGATCAGCAATGATGCACCGCATCATGAGCCAATCAAGTGGACACAACCTGAAGAACCTGAAGATTCTTCAGAAGAGTGATTACTCATGTCTATCTTGTTTTCAAGGTAAACTGATCACGAGACCTTCCCTTCTGAAAGTGGGATTAGAGTCTCCTAGCTTCTTGGAGAGAATACATGGCGATATTTGTGGGCCTATTCACCCCGCAAGTGGACCATTTAGGTACTTTATGGTACTTATAGATGCATCAACCAAGTGGTCTTACGTGTGCCTTTTGTCCACCCGCAACTTAGCTTTTTCAAAGCTATTGGCACAAATTATTAAGTTGCGGGCTCATTTCCCCGATAATCACATCAAGAAATTACGTCTTGATAATGTGGGAGAATTCACTTCACAAGTCTTTCAAGACTATTGCCTAGCAACTGGCATCGAAGTTGAACATCCTGTAGCACATGTTCACACCCAGAACGGGTTAGCAGAATCTCTAATTAAGAGATTGCAATGGATTGCTCGTCCATTGTTGATGCAATCACAATGCCGC